CTGCTGAACATAGGCCTCCCCCAAGGAATGCCACAAAGCACGGTCCTGAGCCACCTGCATCCATCGACTTCCTGCATTTCTTACCAGGTCGTCACTCCATCTCGTGGGGGGTTGCCCTACACTTCGCCTACCGGTACGAGGCTGCCACTCAAGAACCTTTCTCCCCATCGGTTGTCGGTTCTTCGAGCTATATGGCCGGCCCACTGCCACTTCAGCTTACTAATCCGTTGGGCTATGTCGGTTACTCTGGTTCTACTGCGGATATCCTCATTTCTAAGTTTATCACGCAGAGAAACCCCGAGCATAGGCCTCTCCATAGCTCGCTGAGCTACCTTGAGCTTCCTCATACGACCGGCAGTGAAGGACCACGTCTCAGATCCGTAAGTCATCACTGGCAACACGCACTGGTTGTCCTTTGTCTATCAAGGGCTAAAAAATATGAAAGCGCCTTCAAATTTTTAAGAGCAATAAAACTTATAAAACTTGAAAATCATTTTATTAACAAACTACGCGTACTATTGATATGAAATAGGCAACCAGTTGATGTAATTCCGAAGCTAATAAAAAAAAAACGGTCTCAATACGTCAATTTTTTCGGGAGTTATCGTGATCAGATACAAAATCAATCAACATCCGGATGTGAACGTATTTTTATTTATTAATTAGGGTGTTTCCTTGATATACGGCTACTCATATTATCGTATAAGTGCAATATGGTAATGATAAAGGCATTTTAAGAACACAAAATTGCTTGACCTTGACGTGTCGAGAGTAAAGCACTACCTAATAACGTTTGGCGTTATGAGACGTGCAATTCTTTGGCGACAAACACCACACGCATTGGGATTAAATTATACTATTTGATTTTGATTTTTTTTTTGTTTTGATTGTGACTCTACTCTGTGCGACTGTTTGACCACAGACCTCCTCTGTATGTGCAATATGCTTAAAAAATAGTATACGTATTAATATATAGATTACTAATTCCTTAAAAAGTCCATGGTTGGACTTGTCCAGCCGTGGACCCAGTTGTAGGCAGGATTTGCCACTATGGCTACGTTTGCCAGGATTGGCAGCTGCAGTACTAGACGTCATCCCATACCGGTCATCGGGCTGTGTATTTTACGTCTGACGTAAACAGAATCATCAAACCGCAATCTTTCAGAAGCCATAATATATTTTCAACATTATAATATAGACTTCGATTGTTTTCACTAAGTTAAACTCCATCTTTATTTTTGTGGTTTGGATTGACACATGCACTTGTTTTATTGATATTTAATTTGTTAACTGTAAAAGCCTCATAACATCGTCATGGTATATGTTATTTATAAGAATAACGATTTTTTTTTACGTGGTAGAGCCATGCTGCAGCTATATTAGAAGTGAAGTTGTAGCACGAATAGGTCGGCTCGACCAGGGAGAGGCCACGCTTTCACAGAATACCAGCGTAAAGTGGTAGCTTAACACTGCTGTGTTTCGTATGGTGAGTGTAAGGAACCGGAGACTCTTTTTACTGGAAAAGAAGCGTTCCATCTTAGTCCTCACGAGTGACAAGGCATCTGCATTTTGTTTCTTTATTGAGGATAGATGTGGATGTCTATAGGTCACAGCAAACGCTCACCATCAGGTGGACCGTGTGCTCGTTTGTCACCCTATCCTATAAAAACAACAAGCGGGGTTAGCCAAGATGACATTCTATAATCGTGGAATGTCATCTTGGCTAACTAACCAACACCGTTTGTCTGTCTGAACGTGGATCACACAAAAACCTGTGAACGGATTTAAATAGGGCGTTCACTATAAATTTTACGTAAAGGCCGAGCCGTTAGAATAAATACATAATCACGCTATCTATTATAAGAGCTGAGCAGTAAGCCTAATTGGCTACATACGTAATGTACAAAACTCAGGAAAATTTTGTACATTATTTGTACAGCCAATTATGCTTAATTATAATAATTACTGTCTTTATTATTATAATTACTGTCGCTTACAACCATATTTTCTTAAGTAATTAAGTATTCACTTACCTTGATCCGACTTTAACAATGCAAAAAGGCAGGTTGTGTTTTTATTTTCTTTACGATAGATTGTGACTTTATAAATGCTGTCTTAATAAATGCTGCTGATTTTTATATTATTTATGGGCTGAATAACTCATAACTAATGTAAACTAGATATATTAACCGTAAAAACGTAATGCACTCGTAAACGTAATTAGCACGTTGACGATTTAAGTTAAACGTTTTTTTTTAAATAGCGCCTGTTAAAAGCACTATAAGTGAGATGTTCTCCTTCAATTAAAAAGTAAAGGAACAGCCTATTTATTTCCCATTGTTAGACACAAGCATTTTCAAGTTTCTGAGGAGGTTTCTTTTGGAGCAGTGAAGAGTCTATCGCGCTACCCGAATGCGTGTGACGCATTTTGTTTTATTTATTATTATTTTAAGAAATTATGTTTGAATACGATGTTTTCCTTTAGTTACGTTTATAATTTGCTAACAGAATTCTTAATAATTAAAAATAAAAACAATTTGTACAACCGACTTCAATATACATTATTAAGAATAACTCAAAAACTATAAGTCAGACCTTGATCAAAATTATATGGGACCACGTGAGAAGCACCAGCTTTCAAATAAAAAAAGAATTATCGAAATCGGTGCACCCAGAAAAAAGTTATAACACACATAAAAAACATACAGTCGAATTGAGTACCTCGGCTTTTTGAAGTCGGTAGAAAATAGACAAAAAACCCATTTTTAACAGTAGTTTTATACTTGAAAAATCGTTTACGAAATTTCATTTACATCGGACAGATCATATAGAGTAAAAAAGTGTTTAATAGGTATTTTTCTGCCGACTAAAAAGGAGACGGTACTCAATTCGACTGTATGTTTTTTTATGTGTGTTACTTCATAACATTTTATTGGGTGAACCGACTTCGATGATTTTTTTTATTTGAAAGTTGGTACTTCACGTGTAGTCCAATATGAATTTGATCAAGGTCAAACCAATAGTTTTTGAGTTATTCTTAATAACCTATATTGAAGTCGGCTGTAAAAAAAATTTAATTTTAAATTATCGATTAACCAACGCTATATTCAATTGGGACTCCCCCATAGATTGCTTACTAAAGGATATATTTACTATAGTTGCCACCTTAGCAGGCGGGTTGCCAATCTCAGTTTTTATTAGTCATGAGTTATTATCTGAGATGCTGCTGCCCATCTCCTGTTTTATTTTCCTCATTCTCCTCTTACGACAACTACGGGATGATATAGGATGGACTATTATCTTATGGTGCCACCTATCACTAGAGGACCTTATAGCTATGCACAATGACCTATATACTGTCTCTGAATGGACAGGTCTTAAGATGAACATGGAAAAGACCAAGGTTGTTGGGAGCTTGAAGTTGTTCTCGGATATGATTACCTAGGACAAATTGTCCGACTAGATAAATCAAACTATGTGTGAGACGCGGATCAAAGGATCCAACACGACTGGGGAGCATTCAGGAGATAACCAACACGTCTCATCACGTACACCTCAAAACTTGAAAAAACAGTGTACAACTAGTGCGTGTTGCCAGTAGCGTGTGATTACGGCTAGACCTTTCTACAATGGGAGAGTCTACTAAAGACTGATGAGGGAAAAAAAATACGGTGCATATCACCTCCGACGCGCGACTGTAGTTAACTTCTTAGAGTTAGAGTTTTTTCATATTAAATTAGTCGCGTTTAGTTAGTAGTTAGGCCTACTAGCGCCTATTTTACATTACGCTGTCACCTTGAGAGTCAAATTAACCAATTTATTCTATGAAATCTCCTATACAATGAAGTAGATGGCGCGTTTACTTTACACGCGTTCATTATAAGATGTCGGAATGTGTTGCGCGGAGGAGCAAAACAAAGACTTTACTTTTTGTCAATTTCGCTCTCCATCTAATTTGTGCACTGCGAGCTGAAAATCGATTCTTATGGAGTGAACTCCAAAATGCTTTAAATTTTAATTACTCAGTTAATTTCTAACGAATAGCCGAATATAACAGACATCACGCACAGTAAAAAAGGGATAACTGGTCAAAACTTCTACGAGCTCACAGCGCAGCGGGAGTTTGCAAAGTCATAATGGCCGAGCCGTGTTCCCGAAATTACGACGAACAATAACGCGGTACAGAAGTCAAAAGTTCTCATTCATGGGCGATATTATTGCTGTACATATTTTTGAAATGGGTATTTGGCGTAGATTAATGAAAACCGTGCCGTCTAGTGACAGCGTAAGGGAATCTACTACCCCATATCATCCCATGAGTGTCGTAGAATTGTTTTATACGTGATAGAGCTATACTTATTATGTTTGTAATATCCTCCATCTCCGGTCGAGTAGACCCATTCGAGCTACAACTATACCAGTAATATAGCTGCAGCATGGCTCAATCACGTTTTAAACTCTCATGTGGTAGAACCACGTTACGTGGTACAGTCACGCTGCAGTTATATTAGGCTGTAGGACGAATTCGTCGGCTCGACCGGGGAAGGACCACGCCCTCACAGAATACCGACGTAAAATAACAGCTCAATGCTGCTGTGTTCCGTATTGTGAATGTAGAAAACCGGAGACCCTATTTACTGGAATTGAGGCATTGCATCTTAGTGCGCAGGGGTGGCAACACGTCTGTATTTTGATCCTCAATCGAGGATTGATGTAGATGTCTATAAGTCATATCATCCACTTACTATCAGGTGGACTGTGTGATCTTTTGTCACCCTTATTCTATAAAATATAATCCCTTTTTACTGGAAACGAGGCATTCCATCTTAATCCTCAGGGAAGACAACGCCTATTGTTTTAATCAAGGATAGATGAAAATGTCTATGGGCCACGTCTACTTTCAGGTGGACTGTGTGCTCGTTTGTCACTATAAAAACATACGAAAAATCCTGTCTGAATCTAAAAAATTTGTCTTTTTCCTTCCAGCAACGTCATCGGAGATGTACACAAGAAGCACACGGAGTGCTTTAAGCGCTCTCGATGGACGCGGGCTGGTGGCAGTCATCAAGAGACAAGTGCCACTGGCGGGGCAGTTGGACCACGAGCTCGCATGGGGCCAAGGCTGGGGGTGGGTGACATTGCCCAACGGCGTATGGAGCGGACGTGAGTACTTGTTCATATTATAAAGGAAACTGTCCTTCTAGAGCTGGCGAGGCAGCTGGGACTCGGATTGGAGTGGAAATGGGCTAGGCTTGGATGACGTTTACCGACGTACGGTGGCCGTGAGTGTCTGATAGCGTCTTCCGTTTATAGCGTTGGCGGGGAAGCTGGGCCACGAGCTGGCTTGGGGCCAAGGATGGGGCTGGGCGACGCAGCCCAATGGCGTGTGGAACGGACGTAAGAATTTTTTTAAACTTTATTTTATTGCGCTAGCAGGGAAGCTGATCCACGAACAAGTGTGGATATGGAACTTGGTATCAGATCATAATCAATTTAATTGGGCGTGTTTCCATAAGTGATTGTTATTAAAGTTTATACACTGTGTAGTTAAAAACTAGGCATTCTAAGAAGTACCCGTAGATTTTTTTATAAAGAAATAGGGCGACAAACGAGCACATAGTCCACTTGATGGTATGTGGATGCTGTGGCATAGGCCACAGCAATCCAATCCAAGCAAAAGACATCTACATTTATTCTCGACCAGCTGTTCTCCGCGATTTTACCCGCGTGTAATTTAGGGTTTAAATTTTTTTGCGCGGAACTCTAGACTCTTTTTACTTCTAACACTTCTTTTCCTAAAATAAAAGTAGTTTAAGTTACTCCTTGTAACATTAGCTATCTGCCAGTGAAAGTCCTGTCAAAATCGGTCCAGCCATTTCGGAGATTAGCCAAAACAAACAAACAGACAGACAGACAGACAAAAATTTTAAAAGTTGTGTTTTACGTTAAAGGTACCGTATGTTCTTTCATACGCATATAGTAAAAGGCTATTGACACTTTTTATTTGTTTGTATAGATTAAGAATCAAAACGCAAATGCGTTGTCACTTCCAGGGACTAAGATGGAATGCCTCGTTTCCAGTTGGGTCTCCGATTCTCTTCACTCAATATACGAAAATATGTGAATTATTACAATTTTGCGGATTTTCTTGTTTTTAGTTTTAACTTATTTTTAATTTCGACGTTTCGGGTGCTACGTAGCACGCATAATCACGGGAGAAATTGAAAATAAGAAAAAATTGTTTTATCTCTATGCATTACTCATACATATCAAAACAAAAGACTTATTGATTTTTTTCGAATATTAGGATTGATGCAATAGCTACCAATGTTGGGACGATCTTTGTCTGCCTGTACACTTTTATAGCCCGATAAGACGACTATAACAGAATTATTATTTATGCTTTCACTTAAAAAAAAAACTATGTTTAACATTTATATTTCCAGGTCTAATGTGGTCACAGGAGGGCGACGACTTCGCACTCCACGCGATGCCAATCATGCACCACACCAATGTGTCGCAGGCGTGCTCCGTGCTCGATGGAGTGACAGCCTACGAGGCCTCAGCATACGAGCAGGCACTTGCAGAGTACGATGACACAGCCACCACCTCCGATGACTGGGACTTTGGAGTCGATTGCGGCGATTTCATGATGTAATCCTGACCCAGAAACAGAAGCAATTTGGGCGATGGTGAAGACACAATATGAGTTTTAGCTAGCAGGCAGATTCTAGAACAAATGAATTATGATTCTAGAAAAATTAATCGACAGTAGCCTAATTGAGGGTGCGGACCGTGAACTTGAGGCGTGGGTTCGAATCCACCATTCGACTACTGTCGTGAACCACTCCTTTGATAAGCATTGTAAGCTTCTATGGAGTGATTGACGGGGATATTAGTTATATTAACATCATTGCAAGTTTTTTTTTTAAATCTCTGACGTCATCCCAATTGACTACACAGAACCTGTGTACAATTAGGTAAATTAAAAAGAATCAGAAACTGTGTAACGCCTTCCAAAGACATTCACAACAATTTATTTAGAAATATCATGTTAGGATCGTTTTCATATATGAAAATCGAATGGAATAAGAAAAATAGAGAATTTTTGAAGGAACGTAAGATTTTACGTAAAGTCTCTTAAATATTAATTAAATAGAGATTCACTTAATTTAGACAATATTTGATAATAGCAAAGTCAAGTATTAAAAAGTACAGGCAAGAAGTAGTTAGTAAGTCAATGGTGTAGCACGGGGAGGCGGGATGCAGGAGAGGAATTTTGGGAAAGTAGAGTCAGCTCCCGCCTAATTTTTCTTTCTGAACTATGAAGTGAAGCGAGTAAAAATCTTAAATTGAAAATGAAAAAATGAAAAATTTTAATTTATTTTAAGAGGTGGGGTGGACTGAGTGGCAGTATTTTTGGCATCGACGGTTCCAAGCGGTAGCAACCCATGCTGCTGTAATCACTTGCAATAATTGTGTAAATAATACACATTGAACGATTTTATTGACATGTCATGGTGCTCCCGTGATATATAGAGATTTCCCAGACGTCCCACACTTTTGCCCGTCGTCGATCTGATAAACGAGATAGTATACTGCCACTTACCACAAGCCATAAATTCACATATTCGCCTTTGACGACATCCTCTAGATGAAATGCCTTACCCTTTTTGTACCCGTTTTGTATCTTTTATAAATCTTACAATTGTAGCAGTAACAAGTAATTTCAATATCTCTCACATTTAATACCACAGATTATGTAAAAAACAGAGCCACGTTCATATTTTACTAACTAGAATAACAATTCCGATGTCTGTTAAATTTACACATAAACAAACTCGCACTCAAGCAAACACGCACACATACACCCCAATCATTTGCTTCCCGTAAACACGGAGTTACAATTACAAGATAGCTTAACTTTATATAAAATAAAGAAACAAAAGGGGAAAAATATACGTACGTATGTATATCGTTGTATATGTTTGCATGTGTTTGTGTGGTGTGTGTAATTATTTGGTTATATACAATAATAATGTAGATAGATACTTTACGTAACATCTCCTCGTTTTAATTTCAAAGCTGAATACATTGCTCAATGATTAAACAAATTTCAAAGTGCTGGTCACGAATTATCTGACTTCAATCATGTGCCAATTAAAATGGGAAACTCAATGAATACTTGATAAACACTAATCATCTTATGAATTTTATACCTTGACAATTTACAAGGAATAACGCCGATAGATCTTTAGTACTTCCCGATCATAATAAAATAAAAAATCGTATTGTTTTAGCTATAGTTGCATGCTCTGTAGTTTACTGTGTTCGTTATAGCAAGAGATGTGTGTAGCCATGAGTTTAGAGCAATACGGCCTACAAATAAAGTGGCTTTCAAAGTAAATATTTAAGCAACAACACTTTAAAACTTACTCTGTGAAAATTTGAAAAGCTTTTTACTCTATAATTTGTTTTATTCGAAAATTAAATTTCAAAGGGAGTTTGGGTGGGTACTTGATCACCGGCAGATTGTTTCTGATTTATCGTTTAGATAATGGTTTGAAGTGGATTCAAATACCTAAAAGTGATGCGGTTTTGAGCATTATGTGTCTGCGCATGTGAACTATTAACAGAAATAACTAAACAGGTGCTCTTAATGTTGATATCAACCTCAGGTTATTTTGTCCGCCTAGCTCCTTTATAACATGTGATATTGTCGTCACCGACTGTTCGCCGGATTAAGCTGACTTCAAGCTCTCCCACTGGATTCGCGATATGGCGCATTAGCATGTTGTGAAGAAGTTTTGTAAACAAAATATTTTAAAGATTTTTTCTCATTACTTGACACTGGCCAAAGTATTACCGTACAAGTCCGTAACCAAAGAAAAAAAAATTAAAAGTTTAACATAATGCGTTTTTAAGTCAGCATTTAAACCAACTTTTTGAATTTTTACGCGCTACGAAACCAGGGTAATGTTTCTTAATGTCTTCTCAAGGAAGTTTCCTTACTGTGCACGATTAAAAAGTTTAAACTTGCACAATCGTAAATAAAACACGAACGTTCGATGAAACAATACTTTTATTTTTTATATCTTATAATAAGTATGACGCTTATCCCTAATAACACCAATTACAGAAGATAAATAAGTAATTATATTTAACCAATTAAAAACGTAAATAAATTCATATTTTAGGTATAAGTATTGCTGTCTTAGTATGTAGAAAGTGGTCGGTAGTGATTTGAATCCTGACTCAGATGAGATCTTTTAAAAATGTGTCAGATACAAAGCTTTTTAACTTTTTTGTTTAACTCAAAATTTATATGATCGATCACCATGAAAATTGTTATATATATTTTTTTTTCAGTGAAGAAGGTTTATATTTATAAACTAAAAGAAATTTTTAAAAAAATATCAGAAACAAACAAAATTTCATATTCAATCAAGCGCGGCACATCTTAATCAATGTCCTCCACGTGGGATGCACTGAAAATTTTGTGTACTCATAAATAAAACAATTTGTATGTAAACTAATCTATAAATACATTAAAATACTTAAACGTATTCTCCATTACATTTTAAATACTTTTTCATTCGTTCAAACACATATAGGTTTTTCCGGCTCTGTAAATGTCAAACCTCTTTTCAGATCTCTGATATTTTATTTATTTATTTGGGACAACAAACAATAGTACAATGGGTATTACAAAGAATAGAAGTTTAAATTAGAAATTGAATGGATAATTGTACAATCAACTACGTTATCCACGTCTTACATTTCATTCATCTGATTTTTGGGAAAATAAAGAAAACGCACGGTGCGAGGTCTGTACTTTTTTTTCTAACTTTTAAATGATGACGTATTTTTTTTATTTGGCTCCTACGAAAAGCCAAATGTCCTCTAATCTCCACAAACGTGATGTGCCGGTTTCTTTTAATCGCCACATTTTCCTCAGTGGTCGCATTTGAGGGTCGACCTTCACAATTTCATCATAAAGAGAAACACTGCCACGATCAAATTTTGTGTACTAACCCCTTACGTTGCTCAAATAAAGCACTTTATTCCTTCTCAAAAGCATTTTGAGGGCGAGTAGTACAATCTTGCAGCGAGAGTGAATTTTTAAAATCATAAAAAAATCTTAAAATCGTTTCGTATTAATTCCATTTTTATTACGATTGACCAACCAATAATAAACTTATGATAAAAAAAAACAATTGGTATGTGAGCATGTGAATTACTTATGTTTAAAAAAATAACAATCAAAATTCAAACATTAATGAGCGGCCAGGAGCCCAGAACTTTCAATGTGCCCTATGTATACATATTTAAAAAACTAAAACAACATGAAAACGTCTTTTTAAAATTAAATTACTTTTAATAAACATTTTATGGTCTTTATTCATTTAGGCCGGCCACATACATACGGAATTCCGTTTCGAGATTCCGTTTCGGAATTCCGAACGGGTCGGCCACACACATACGGAATCCCGTTTTGCCCGCAAAATTTCGAACGGAAAAGTACCGTACGTGTGTGACGGGTCATAGATTTTATATGGACTTGCTGCGTTCGGGATTCCGAATCGGAATATTGAAACGGAATCCCGAAACGGAATTCCGTATGTATGTGGCCGGCCTTATTTCAATTGAAACTGTTTTTATGGTTTCCAATTGAAAAATATTAAAAAATAATTTTTTGTGCTCAATATTTTTTTTTAAGTCTCGCCGATATATTATCGATATGGTATATGATAAAAAAAATTTGCACAGGCTATAAATTATTTTACATTACATCAAATTTACATTCCAAAAACCAAAGCTTATACCCAGCCGTGAGACACTATTTCATTAAAAATTAAAACATCCAGCAAAATTAAAACATCCTGTTCCTGCGTACACTGCTCACTATTTTTTATAGAAGCACTTGAATGGTTTTTTTTTTTCTAAATATTCAATGCTCTGAATTATTACCGATTTTTATTCTACATTAGGAAGCCATAAATTGCCTTAATAATCTGTGCACATTTTTAAAAGATCTGTTGTCGTCCAATACGTGCGCGTCGTTTTAGAATCGATCGGCACATTTAGGTGTGGTTATCGTACATTAGTACAATTATTTAATTTATAAATATATGTATATGTAATCGCTATAAAATCTTCCGACCTACCCAAAGACTGCCTAAAATATATACCTGATACCTGTGTTGTGTGGTACCTAGGCAAGGTTATCGCGATTATAGTCCCTGGCCCCGCCAATAAGATACAATGCAAGATTCCTTACACAGAAAAATAAGTAACTTTTTTAAAATTTATACAAAATCGAGGACGTTTGAAACAAAAAATTAGCCTTTTATGATCACAGATTATATAATATATCTGGTTTACACGTACAATGATTGCTAAAGGAATTGCTATTTTATGGACAGTTTATTTACTTACTTACTTTAACAGTTTTATTTTTCTTTAAAAAAACTGAAATATAATATATTTGATTGCATTTTTATATTTATGTAGGCGTTAGCGACAATGATAATTAATACTAGTATATTGTCATTCACTGGGCTTTAAATAACACTTCTGAACTAATGTTGCAAAACGTCCATGTAGGCAGAGGTTAGAAGAGCTTTTTCCACGGAGGTGGTGAATTACGTGTGTTTA